CACACCGGGAACTGGCCCCTCGCACCGGGAACAGCCCCTCATAACACCGGGAGCATCTGTTCCCATACCAGCGGGAACAGACCCCCATAACACAGGAAACTTCCTCCATAACCGGCGGGAACAGCATCCCCTCACACCGAGAGCAGCCCCCCACCACTGCTGTGCCGTTCCCCCTCACACCGGGAGCACCTCCATCACTGCGGGAACAAGCTCCCCTCACACCGGGGGCAGCTCTCCATCACTGCGGGAACAAGCTCCCTCACACCGGGGGCAGCTCCATCACTGCAGGCAGGAGCTGTTCCCTCACACAGGGAGCAGCTCCATCACTGCGGGAACAAGCTCCCCTCACACCGGGAGCAGCTCCATCACTGCGGGAACAAGCTCCCCTCACACAGGGAGCAGCTCTCCATCGCTGCGGGAACAAGCTCCCCTCACACCGGGGGCAGCTCCATCACTGCAGGAACAAGCTCCCCTCACACAAGGAGCAGCTCTCCATCACTGCAGGAACAAGCTCCCCTCACACCGGGAGCACCTCCATCACTGCGGGAACAAACTCCCCTCACACCGGGAGCACCTCCATCACTGAAGGAACTGGTCCCTCACACAGGGAGCAGCTCTCCATCACTGCAGGAACAAGCTCCCCTCACACCGGGGGCAGCTCCATCACTGCAGGAACAAGCTCCCCTCACACAGGGAGCAGCTCCATCACTGCGGGAACAAGCTCCCCTCACACCGGGGGCAGCTCCATCACTGCAGGAACAAGCTCCCCTCACACCGGGAGCACCTCCATCACTGCAGGAACAAGCTCCCCTCACGCCGGGAGCAGCTCTCCATCACTGCGGGAACAAGCTCCCTCACACCGGGGGCAGCTCTCCATCACTGCAGGAACAAGCTCCCCTCACACCGGGAGCAGCTCTCCATCACTGCGGGAACAAGCTCCCTCACACCGGGGGCAGCTCTCCATCACTGCAGGAACAAGCTCCCCTCACACCGGGGGCAGCTCCATCACTGCGGGAACAAGCTCCCCCACACCGGGGGCAGCTCCATCACTGCAGGAGCTGTTCCCTCACACCGGGAGCACCTCCATCACTGCGGGAACAAGCTCCCCTCACACCGGGAGCAGCTCCATCACTGCGGGAACAAGCTCCCTCACACCGGGAGCAGCTCCATCACTGCGGGAACAAGCTCCCCTCACACAGGGAGCAGCTCTCCATCGCTGCAGGAACAAGCTCCCCCACACCGGGGGCAGCCGCCCCTCGGGCCGGGGTCCGCTCACCGCGCTGTGCCCGCGGGTCCCGCCCCGCGGGTCCCGCCCGGGATCTCCCCGGTCCCGCACCCCGGCAGGGATTTCCGCAGGGATCACGGCTCCAGCCGGGCTCCCCGCCTGCCTCATCCTCCTCCCCGCACCCCACACGGACGATTAACGGATTTAATCACATCCCTTTGGGCTGAAGCTTTGGATTTCACACCAAATGCCCCCTGTACAGCGCTTGTGGTCATTCCTGGGGCTGCCTTCAGCTTCCCTCTAGTGGATCGGCCGAAAACCGCTCCGCAGGCGATCCCGGAGCTTTAGACGCCAAACTACAAATACCAGCAGCTCCAGCACCGCTGAGAGGCCCCCGGGCCCACCTCTGCTAGAATGAATCTCTCCAGTTTATTGTAGCAAATATTTATAAAGAATTTTATTTGTCATGTATATCTGTAAAAGCCCACGGCAAGCAAAGAATTTTGAAACATTCTCTCTGGCTGAGCTATTTTTTTTAGCTGTGCTCTTTACATTTTTTTCTGTAGTGGGTGGCCCTTCCTACCTCATCGCAGAGTGACAGTGGCAGAAGGACCCAGACCTTTAATCCTGTTTCGCAGCAGGTTTAGCAGAGGAGCGGCTGCAGCAGCCTGGAAATGACCATGGAGAAGATTCTGAAGGCAGAGCTGAACACCAACCTTCTGAAGGCACTGGGGAGCTCTGGGGGAGGATGCATCAGCCAAGGCCAAACATATGAGACAGACAGAGGACGGGTATTTGTGAAAATCAACCACAAACCTCAGGTCAATGCCATCAGATCTTATGATTGCATAGAGATAGCTTTTTATTTTAAAAGCAGCTGCTTGTTAATACATAATTATTTCAGTTCTGAGTTTTCTTTTTAAAGCTGTGTCTATTTTATATGCAGAACTAATGTAGCAGGTTTGGTTAGCATGAAATGGGGTGTAATGCGATGTGATAACCCTCAACAGCAGGAATGAACTGTAATTCCTGTAAAAAGAAAGCCAAGCACAAAGCTGTTACTGTGGTACTTAGAGTTTGGAAAAGCCCAGAGCTGACTTTGCATTCACTGCATTCCTTTTCATGCTGCTGTTGGGAGGATTGATAATGGGAGGGCACAATCAGGGGGCAGTGCTAAAACTCACATATTATCATCAAAGCTACAGAAATTTCAAACATCTTCGTTGCTTTTGGCATTTCTAAAAGTAAAACTCTTGCAGCTTCTCAAGCCAAGCTCTTGACTTTTCTATTATTAAATGAATACTCAATTGCTTTTTCAAACACCACAGAATTTTGCTTTATCAATATCAAAATCATCCTAAACTGCTGTGAAACAGTAGCTTTGCTTCAAAAATGAACAGCACATGCTGAGTATTTGTGCTGTCATCTCCATCCAGTGGCCTATGGAGAAAGGAGAACCAGTTTAAGGGATCAGTGTTACCTCATTTAGCAGTGGCCACATTATCCTCAGAGGTGCTGTTGCATCCAGGTAGTTTGGGGTCTTCATAAGCAGCTGGAAATAAGGGTGAAATGTGACAGATCCTACAACCCTGGAATAAATTTAGGAAAACAAAAAAGCAGCTAGTGTCAAGGCCCTTAAGGCTTCCTGTGTGGACAGAAGCCTTGCTGCAGCTCTCTCCTTTTATCAAGAGGAATTAACTCCTTGTCACTTTGTCAGAAGTACTCCTTGTAGCCATCCATAGTTTAGCCCAGGGATATTCTTATTCCTTGACAGGCTAGAAAAATGTTTGAAGGGGAAATGGCAAGTTTGGAAGCGATTCAGAAAACCAATATTGTGAGAGTGCCTCAGCCCATCAAAGTGATGGACCTGCCTGGAGGAGGAGCCATGTTTGCCATGGAGTACCTAAAGATGAAGCACCTCAACAAGTATGTCCATGCATCTCTTTTTACTATATTTTGGGACACATTTTTTTCAGTGTCTTACAGTCAGCCAGGAAACTTCATGAGCAGAGTTACTTTATTCTCTCAGAGACAGAGCTTCTCTCTGTTGAGACCTGTGTTTCTCTGTGCACATATTAAAATATATATATGTGTGTGTATGTGTCTATATATGTGTGTACACACTCCTTGTCCATATTTTGCTTTTCCTTCATTAGAAATGGCTGTCACTGCTCATTCGTGTGCTGAGATGCTGCTGCACTGAATTTAATCACAGCTGAGTTTGGCTCATCATTCTCTCATGAGATTTTTCACTGGAGTTTCTTTTCCCAGCCCAACAGGTTTCTTTAGCCTTACAGGCTGCTTATGTCTTCGAAACTTCTGCTTCTCTCTGTAGAATCTTCCAGTATCATTTAAGCCATGATTAAGTTAAGATTATATGAATCTGCATTTCATCTGTCAACCAACCTGAACATGGAATTCAGGAGTCATGTGGTGCTGAAAACAGATTTTCAGGAACACTGCTGTGTTCCAGGCCTCCATATGGGAACAGTGTCGTTCCTGTGGTTCTAGCAGCCGATTGTGCAACCCATCTATTTTATTTGGGACAATAATGGCAATTCCACTGCCTCCACAAACAGGTTATTCTAATCCATCCCACCGTTCCTAGGAAGGATTTTCCAATGTCTAACCATAGTCCTTCTGGTTGCATTTTTAAATTAATCATTTTCCCCCCATTCTGGGCATGGAGAAGAAGTTAGTTTCCATCTTTGAAACTCCTGATAAGATACCTATGGAATATTTAACTGGTTTTAATTGTCTGCCTTCAGCACTAGGCAGCCTTGACTCAATCCCTGCCTACGGCTTCTTTTCAGACTTACCCTTCCAACTGCTGCTCAGCTGATTTGTAAGGGTAAAGCCCAACAGGAGAGATCCCTGTTCTGTTCTCAGCTGACAGTGGGGCTGATAAGGAGGAGCACACCATCCTCCTGCCCTTTCTGCTCCTGTTTGTACAACCTTGTGTTCTCTTTACCTTCCTTGCAAGAGCATTTAGTGTGTTTGTTGTGTTATCTGTGTCTTCAGAGTTGTTATTAAGTAATTTTCTCCCTCTTAGGTGCTTGTGAAATCGATTAAGGTTCTACGTTTGCCAAAAATAGCCTTGGTCATATTTAGTTGAAGGTTTTTTTCCCCCATATAATATTTGTTGACTTGATTCAGTTTCATTTTGGTTTATTTGATCCTACAGATACGCTTCAAAGCTGGGAGAGCAGATAGCAGAACTTCATCTTTATAACCAGAAACTTGGAGAGAAGCTGAGGACTGAAGGAAGCACAATTGGTAAAGCATGGATGTAATGTAATAAACCAAAAAAGAAGCAATTCCTTTGGCTGTGGTGCAGCATTGCTTTCAACTTTCCTAAGTCAAACTGGCAATCTGGACTCTTCTTCAGTGTCAGTGAAACCTTTCAGCCTCATGCACTCTATTAAAATGTTCCTGCGCTTACAGAAATCCCATTTTTTGCTTGCTGTTGGTTTAGATAATTTACTGATTACACAATACTGTCCCTTAGTAAATGCAGAATTAAGCTCCCCTTTAAAGATGTTGGGGATGATATTTTTGAACTCAAGTAGCAAAATATTCAAAAATTGCTGCTCCTCAAAGTGAATTAAAGCATAAATGAAAAACAAATCAGCTGTATGAAGAATTTTTTTTTTGAGTTGTTACTATTGAAATCTCAAATGCCAGCCTGTATCTGTATTGTTCCCATGACTTCAGAGTGGACTGGGTCTGACTCTTGTGGTGGACAAATTATCATCCATTATTTTTGAGTGAAGGCCAATTTGCTGGCAGGTCCCAAATAATGCATGACTCAAACCTAAGCCACATTTGATTGTGACTCTGTATTTGGGATCCTTTCCTGAATGTCCAACTCCTTCATCCAAAGCAAACTCCCTGAGGCTGACTATGCCTCCATTTCCATTCAGCATCTTCAAGTCCGAAAGATTTCTTTCCAGCTTTAGAAAGGGTTGTGAGCATGAAATAAGTGTAACTTATTGCTTAAAGTTATTTTTATTGCCTTAAGTTCTGTGTTTGCAAATTTCACCATGTAAAGATCTCAAATCCCATAATATTTATTTTGTTGTGTAGGAAAAGGAGCTGGTCACTCCGAGGCCCAGTTTGTGGATCAGTTTGGATTCCACACAGCCACTTGCTGTGGTTATATCCCACAGGTATGGTCTGTTCCACAGCTGTGAAAGCCAACAGGCACTTGTAGAGGTCTGTAAACTCCTCATACCTGAGCTTGCTCCATTTGTCTGCAGTTTTCTGACCACAGCTTTGCTTTCTCTGTTCCATCCCTGTTCCCTGGTACTGTGCATGTGGCCTGCAGGCATGGTGGATTGAGAATTTGGAGTGATGTGGTGGTTCTTTAGCATGGTGATATTTTAAAAAATCAGTGTCCCTTCACAAACCATATCTTGGTTTTATTAACCCCTGCTACATAGATCTCGGCACTGCTTTTGGAGAGCCTCATCATGTAACAGCTCATGAGACATTGCAAAGGGCTCCTGGAGAGGAGAGGGCTCTTGGAGACAATTCCACCATTTTCTGGCTCTGCACATGTCAGGATTTCATTCTGCAACAACTGGATGAACCTCCAGCATCTCAAACTCTTTGCTGTACAGCTTTTCACCAAATTAGAAACGTGTTACCTGTGACATACACATTCTCTAGGCAGAGAGACATAATTCTGCCTTTCAGGATTTCTTAGAGAAATGCAGAGCGAAGAAGAAGAAACAATCTTTGTTTCTTTGTTTTCCTCATGTAGAATGTAATATAGAAATTGTTTACTTGAAGAAATTGCTTAATTAGATTCTAGTGAAAGTTTTTTAAGTTTAATGACTAATTAGATCTAGCTGTGTGTCAGACTCTCAGCAGAGTCACGAGTTTGAGTTAGGTAAGTAAGAAGTAAGTATGCAAAATAGTATAATATCTCTTTAGTATATTAATGTAATATAGTATAGTTTTAATAAAGTTATTCTTCAGCCTTATGATCTAGAGCCAATAATAATTTCTTCCCTGAGTCAGGATTTGCTGCATTTTTACTATTATTACCCAGTAAAAATAAATAAAATAAATGAATACTTCTGTATTTCTAGAAAGATTTGAAACAGGACATTGAACAACTGAAATGATCTCACCAGAAATTCTCCCTCTAAAATAAATTTAAAAAGTGAGAATGAATGAAAACAGCCAGAACCTCAACTTATATTAAAGAGAACCCCACCAAAGCAGCACTCCCAAAACAAAACATCTGATGTCACTATGCATTGGTCACACTGACATTGTCCAGGCCATTGTGTCAGCACTGAGTGTTTTAACTGGATCTCTCTTATTAACACTGAATGAATGTGTGTTAAAATTGTGTGTGGCAAACTTGTGCTGTATTTTCCAGGTGAATGAGTGGCAGAGTGACTGGCCATCCTTCTTCATCCGTCACCGACTCCAGGCTCAGCTGGATTTGATTGAAAAAGAGTATGGAGACAGAGAAGCCAGAGAACTCTGGTCACAGCTAAAAGTATGCACCATTTTAAATCTACTTTCTAGAATTTCAGAAAATGTGTATCAGTGGGATTGCAAAGGTGTTTTATAAGGGATTTACCTAGCTTGGAATGAAGAGCAGGGTCTGGATGAGCTTCACAGTGGATCCAGCAACACTGTCAGCTGAACAGAATCTTTGTTGTTCTTTGTTTTTATAGATCGTGGAAAAAGCTCCCTGTAATTCAGCATCAACATTTATTTCTGAGCTAGTAATAATATTATGGTTAATCCTAAGAGCTTGGTGTTATGAAGTGTATGAAATTCTGCTGCCTGGACAGATTTGTATTTTACCTGGCCCAGGCTGAGGCTGATTCAGGCCATGTTCCATGCAGCACTCTGGGAACACCAGGGATGTTCCCCCTCTCCTCTGTTCATTGGTCCAGATGGTTACTGCAATCCTTTTTGCCATTGAAACTTTTAAGTTTAAATGAAATTATTTTTTATTTCTCATGACAGCAAACGATATCCATGCCTAGAAACAATATATCAGTACCAGGTGTTGGTACTAGACTGTGAATTAAATGCTTTACTGAGCTTGGTCAAGAACAATCCAGAACATTTATCACTGGATTGTTCTTGTTGCCATCAGTGTCCAAACCATTCCATGAGGGCTGAATACAAGCAGCATTTGGCCAGCTTAGGCTCTAACATGCTATAGTACTTTTATTTATTATTTTCTTCAAAACTCTTTAATTGTTACATGTCTGTTTATGCTTTTTCAGCCAAAGATTCCTGAAATGTTCTGTGATGTAGAAATTGTTCCTGCTCTCCTGCACGGGGACCTGTGGGCAGGGAATGTGGCTGAGGACGACTCCGGGCCGATCATATTTGACCCTGCCTGCTTCTATGGCCATTCAGAATTTGAGTTGGCCATTGCTGGAATGTTTGGGGGGTTCAGCAGCTCTTTTTTCTCTGCCTATCACAGTAAAATACCCAAAGCTCCAGGATTCGAGAAGAGGAACAAGTTGTATCAGCTCTTTAATTACATGAACCACTGGAACCACTTTGGGACTGGGTACAGGGGCTCTACCCTAAACATGATGAAGAAACTTCTGAAGTAACCAGGTACATTTGAGAAATTCTGACACAGTCCCTTAGGAATGAGCAGTCCCTCCTCATCCCAAGTACCACAAACTCAGAATTGATGGTAGAACACCTGATATGGGGAAGGTTTAATGCAGTTTGAGCCTCACTAATTAAAGCAATTGTGTAATCTTTAACTTGTGCACTAGTTTCCCTGCACAGATTCCTCCTTGCTGAAGGAAAGGGCTGCAGTGTTTGTCAAGGCTCCACTGGCCTGGAAAGCAGCAGGACACTCAGCCTGCCCTTGCTCTCTCACCTCATAGCTGCTGTGCTCCCACAGTTGTTCCAGAGCAGCATCTTCCCAGCCCTGCTGCTGCTCCAGCAGCAGTTTGTTGTGGACAGCTGCAGCTGTGGGACAGTGGTGCTGGAAGCAAGTTCTTGTGTCTGCCCTTGTTTGTTCTGGTTTATCTTTCTGTCTGTTCCCCATTAATATTTCCATGGTCTTCTGTTTCCCTCTCCTTTCCTTTTGCCTGTCAAATGTCCTAATCCAAAATTTCAGTCAGATTCTGTGAATCTGAAAACATCCTCTTTTTAATTTAATGAGCAATCAAGGCCCTTTGGCTGCATTTGGCAAACACATGTAATTAATAATATTTATTTAACACATGTAATTTCTAATATTTATTTTAATTTAATGTAATTTATTCACATTCATTTTTCCTTGCTAGAAGAACTTAAATTCCAGTGGCATTTTCTGGAAGGATGTCTAGCTCCTTGGTAATTAACTGTACAGTCAGAAGTAGGTAATTATCATTCACAGTTGATAATAGCATTTCATTGTTTTGGTGTGATATATCAGTGTGTTGTACTACAATAGTAACATATGTAAATAATTTTGTAAAGAGACAGTCAAATGTGGGAGGAAGGCTCTATGGTTGGGTGAGAAGAAGCACCTGTGGCTGCTGGGTTGGTTGGTGCTTGACATATTTTCAATTTTAGAAAATGAGTGCAGTGGGCAAAGCTGGTCTGTTGTGCCACCACTGGGTTATGGAAGGAACAGTGTCAAATCTGATGGATTTGTAAAGGGTTTCATTGTTCCTTACTGCTTTATTTTTACAGAAAACACAGGCAGTGGGAATTTGGGGAGAAAAGTGTTCAGCAAAGACACTGGTGCACAATCTAAGCCAGGGTACATTAGTGACTCTGGGCGGGTTAAGTGGAAGTGGCAAGGAGAGTAAAAGTAAGTCCAGTCCCACAGATAAGAATTAGAAGTTTTGGGTAAGAATCACCTGAATATTCAGACTTCAGATGGCTGGCATGACTAATACTAAAATATTATATGTAAAATTGCTCAGATATATTTAGACTTTTCTCAACTTTAAATGGTTGTGCTATAAAAGATTTAACGAAGTTTAAAATTTGATGTTGTAATTGATTTAAAACAATGCACTTAGCTCTCTGTAAATATGATACAAATAGTGAAAAAATTTTGCTTCCTTTGAATCAGGGGAATCTTTCACAGTTGGTTATAAAACTTAACAGAACTAAGAATGGAAAAGTGGAACAGTAGGGTTGGAACACAGTTGGGATTGTAGCTGATGGCTGGAAGATCTAGGTGTGAGCAAAGTGCATGTGCACTGGTGTTTATGATGTGAACAAACCCACCTGTATCACACTGGGAAGTACTTGTGAACTCAAACTTCTTCTCAAATAAAACACTTGCCTTGCAGAAACCCAGCGTTCGGTGTACGTGTGTTTTGCGGCTGTGGTTTGATGGAATGAATTTGAGCCTGAAGATAAAATATTTGGGTGTGGATGGAGCTGCTGGATAGCAGGAAAGAGCATCTCACCTGTTGTGACATCCTGGCTGGGCTGAAGTGCCTCCTTGAATTTCCTGAGGATCAGGGGAGCTGTAGTTGCAGCTTTTAGGGTTGGAATGTTGTTTCCAGAGCTGTGTGAGGTTTGCTGATGTGTTGTGGTATTAACCATGCAAGGCAGTGTTTTGGTGTGGGTTGGGAAAGGAATGGAGATCATGGATAACGGCATTATCCACCTGTCTCCCCCACACCTTGTGTGATTGTCCCTGTCCTTGTCCTTTACCCTGGGGTCCCCATCCCTGTTCCCTGAGGGTCCTTATCTCCATCCTCACCCAATGCTTGGGTGCCCATGCTGTTTCCCCATCCTTGTCCCATCCCCAGGAACCCATAGCTGGTGTTCCCAGGATGGATGTCCCCATCTCCAGCCTAGATGTTCCCATCCCTGATGGGTGTCCCTGGGGTTGTGTCCCCATCAGCCGTGGATGTCCCTGTCCCTGGTGAGTGTCCCCATCCCCAGTAGGTCTTCTCGTTTCCACTGGGTGTTCCTTGGCTGGATGTCCCCGTCCCCAGTGGGTGTTCCTGCCCCCAGGGTGGGTTTCACCATCCCTGGTGGGTGTCCCCAAGCTGGATGTCCCCAGCCCCAGTAGGTATTCCTGTCTTTGGTGGGTGTCCCCAGGGTGAGTGTCACCATCCCTGGGGGCTATTCCCAAACTGGATGTCCCCATCCCTGGTGTGTGTCCCCAGAGCGGGTGTCCCCATCCCCGGTGCGTGTCCCGAGGGTGGGTGTCCCATCCCTGGTGGGTGTCCCCAAGCTAGATGTTCCCAACCCCAGTAGATATTCCCGTCTCTGGTGGGTGT